TTCCAAGTTCCCTTCTATAGTAATTATCATAATTCCCAGCGCCGTACCGTGGAGTCGGCGCATTCCCAGATGTTTAGCCGGCAGCAGGTTCATCCTCATCTGTGGGTAAGTTCGAATAAAGAGAATGTTTAAGTTTGCATAGTCATGTTTTATTCGATAAGTTGTGTTCCTGGAAAGACATCTAGGAACGTAATATTTGCTGATTTATTACAGCATCTCCGAGAATTGGACAGTTATCTAGGTACTTAGCTTCAGAATCGAGGCAAAAACAAATCTATTTAGCAAAAGAAGACTGCTACTAAACCAAAGGACGCCTTCATAATATTCATATTTGCGAAGATAAATTTTATTGGGTCTCTCGAAATGAGTGATAGCAAATATGTCCGTAGTAAGACCTTTGAGATTCAGGTTTAGTGAATAACTTTACGCTATCTTTCCAGAGTTGAAATGGCAATATATCCTCCAGCACGCAAGTTTCGTCACCGCGAAAGCGATAGTCACTCATGTCTCTTTTTCAAGGCTCAGGCATAGTGGATGAGCCTCCTCTTGTGTGTGACTCTAGTTGAGCTGATTCGTATTTCATGGAAAAATGTGTTATGAAGATATTTGGAATTTGACCTAACCAGAAGACGACCGCAGATGTCGCTTTGTCTACTGTTGCTTGTTTTTGAGAGGATGCTAAAACTGGGGTGATCGTCCAGACATCCAACATCAGTTCCTTACGTTGCGAAGTGAACAGGCTTTGGAACTATCCGTACCTCATGAATAAGAGCTTATTCGCCCTGGGTGGCCTAGAGTTATTTAAGATCTGAGTGCAGATTTTCTCACCTTAAACGACCTAGGATGCCCATGTTTTTATGCTGAGCATTTGACTGACATATCATTTGCTGGACATCCTCAAACTTTGAACTCATAGCATCCCTAAGTTAAGACCGAATTTGAAACAAAATAATTCACAAACATTTGAACTATAGGGGTTTTAATGCATTTGGTTAATTAAATTTCATCTGCTCCGATGTATGCGAGTTATGGTTTCCAATATTAACATATTCAGAAGAAAAAAGGGCAGTTAGTGATATTTGAAAAGTCTTTGATAAAAAATACGATATGTTAGCTGGCTAAGCTACCATATATTAGGAGATGATAGCCTTTGGTCTACTGCGTTTAGCATGAGTAAATAGACGCCTTATTCAATTCAGTAGTTATGACAACAGTAATTAGTCATTTGATAGACGATGAAACAATTTAAAGACAAATTCTTTGTTGCTTCAAGTGAAAAAATTGAGAATCATGACCATAGTGATGAGGCCTTGCAACGAACTCTTCATCACAGACCCTCGCGAGAAAGGATGGTGACTACAAGATAAGTGTGGAAGTGGATTCTACAAAAACGGCATTTTCCTTTGCGATGGATGAATCAATCATAGATTCTGCAAACGCACTCTCTTGTTCCTCGAATGTTATAGGTCGTGAGCATAACAATATCTTTACTTTACAGGGTTAAGCTCACTTTACTTTCGAGTGAAGGTAGGCAGTGAAGAGATTCGAAGGTGGATACTATCAGAAGATATGTGTTGTGGCTTGACTGAAACATTCTCATTAGCGTTGTCCTCGGGGAACGAGTTGGATCAGAGCAGGGTATCATTCTTACAACGAATTCAAGCTGACGAGCTAAGAAGGCTTACTGGCTTATTCCTAAACGCTAAGCGTATACTATAAACCTATAACATTTTATGAATTAGAATTCTTTGAAGGTATGACGGCCAAGATGGTGTGGCTTTTTGTGGGGTCGCAGTCTCCTTTCGTTGTATAGAAATTGTTTCACCTTGTTTTCGCAACTTGGTCATATTGGTATGAAGACTAGCTGCGTTCCTTTAAGTCTTCCCACCAATAGGACCAAGTTGTGAAAACAAGGTCAAACAACTTCTAAAATTATTTTATTTCTTTACGCTATATGCCATTTTAGAGGTATATGCGTGTGTAAGTAGCTTGGCATCGTTTTCACAACTTGGTCGAAACCCCTTCTATACAGCGAAAGCGAACCATATGCATATATGTACTTGTTAGGGGCATCTGCGTTCATTCGTACGAAATGGTATAAAATCAGCAGACGGTCGAACATTTAGCACCTTTTCCCGGGGACAGCGTCAATCAGAAAGCTCTTGTAAAACCAAACGACCGTCAGTTAAGAGGAATCCTCCATTGTCTTCTGGAGGGATCGACCTCCGATCCTCTTCCTCGCACTCTCTTTCATTCGAAATGGAAGTGAGCTCAACAAGGTGATGAAGTAATCTTTCACGGAGACCAGGATACTAGTTCATTCCACTCACCTCCTTAAACGAAATGTTGGTTACGCCAGCATAAATCTATTAATCGATTCTACGAAACCCAGCTTTTCCCCATATATACCGCAGTATCATCCTCCGTGGATAATATCGAAAAGTACGCCTTATTGATAGCAGATCCAGCCTCGACTTCTCACCCCTCCTTACCTGTCATTGTCTCTTCTTCAGTTATTTCATCCTCCATATTGCTCGATGAACTTACACATTATGAAAATATTTGCCCAGCGTCGAGCCCCTTCTGGCTTTCTCCGCCCGGCTCAAGGTCTGTGCCCCAAATTGTGAGTTGCCCACCTTCGACGTCTCACCTCGCCGTGTCACCTTTAATCCACCGGCCATCACGCCGGGGGAAGGCGATGCCATCGCGTCCAGGTTGCTTGGGGAGAT